TTTTTTTTTTTTTTTTTTTTTTTTTTTTTTTTATCATAGTAGGATCACTAGTGAATGCAAGTTAGTGGAGCTCACTAGCTCCCTGCATAATAAGAAGTTACCAAATGTGTGTTTTTTTTTTGTTTTCTGATATTTTTTGTAATAGAAGGCGTTCCATCGTTTTTTGGAAAATTAGATCACACACAGTACTTCAATTTTGTTCTTCTTCTGGCCATTCTTGGTTATACTTATCTGCTATTGAAGGGAGGAAAAGTTGGGCTAAATGATATGTGGAGATTTAATAATTGAATGCCGTTAAATAGGGATCACCAGTATTCATTCCATTTTGCATTTTCTCCTTTTCTTGTGCTTTCTGTTTGTTCAGATTTTCATCATTTTCTATATTTTCTCAAAATTTTCCAGGTTTATTCTATGGGAGTCTCTAGAAGTGACAAGTTCAAGACCGGTGTCGATCAAACTGTTGAGAAGTCGATACACAATGAGTATAATTCTGTTGTTACCTTTGGGAGACTTCCAGTCATGGTGATGTCGGATTTGTGCAGGATGAGGTCAGCTGATAAAAAGGATTGTGAGTTTGACCATGGTGGATATTTTATAATTAAGGGTGCTGAGAAGGTACTTTTTTTTTTTTTTATTTTTTTTTCTTTTTTCCTTTCAATAATAACTGAGCCATCAATGTTGTTTCTAAATAGTGCTGATTAAATTAGTTACTTAAAGCGTATCTTCTTCCCGCCAGTTTCTTATTGCTTGGCCTTTTCTGTTTGCTTCTGTTAGCAAATTTCTCTTTTCATTCATTTAAAAACTTGAACTTCCCCATTTAACTTATCTAATTATTTTTTGATTAAATATTGGCAAGTGTTCTTGCTTCACTGACTGACCGGCGAAATGTATCCATGCCTTTATTAGTTATCCGATTGGCAAAATGTGTCGATGCCTTAATTTATATATATTTTGCTCCCAATACTCGACTTGCAGACATTCATTGCACAGGAGCAAATATGCCTCACAAGACTTTCGATATCCAAAGACCCAACTTGGACAGTCGCATACCGTCCGGCTGCAAAAAGAAAACGAGTCTACATAAAATTGACCCCCAAAACCGAGAAAGTATTGGGAGCCGACAAAATACTCACGGTCTACTTTTACATAACCGAAATCCCGATATGGCTTCTCTTCTTTGCTCTGGGTGTCACAAATGACAAGGAAATAGTAAAAATGATTAATATCGATACGGAAGATTCTCCCATTGCTAACATACTCATCGCCTCTATTTACGAGGCCGATAAGAGTTTCGATGATTTCCGCAAAGAGGGAAATGCCGTAAAGCACATTAGCAACCTCATGAAGGGCTGTAAATACCCACCCGAGGAGTCTGTGGAGCAATGCATACAAAATTACTTCTTTCCCAACCTTTGCAGCCTTAAGCAGAAGGCTTCTTTTCTTGCATATATGGTAAAATGCCTCTTGGAAGCCTTTAGAGGGCACCGTAAAATTGACAACAGAGATGATCTTAAGAATAAGAGGTTAGAATTGGCCGGTGAGCTATTAGAGAGAGAGCTGAGGGCTCATATCAAGCATGCTGAAAAGCGTATGATTAAAGCTTTACAACGGGACCTCGACAGGGATCGGGAGCTGCAGGAGGTGGAGAAGTACTTAGATGCTTCTATCATTACGAATGGTTTATCGAGGGCTTTCTCGACTGGAGCTTGGTGCCACGCGTACAAGAGGATGGAGAGGACTTCAGGCGTTGTGGCGACTATCAGACGGACTAACCCTTTGCAGGCGATTTCTGATATGAGAAAAACTCGCCAGCAGGTTTCGTACATGGGACGGGTCGGAGATGCTAGATACCCGTGAGTCTCGTGTAATCTTTTTTTTTTTTTTTTCTCTCTCTCTCTCTCTCTTTGGATATGTGATTTTTTCCAGAAATGTGTTTCAGAATATATTATTCCTTGATTATGAGTATTATTAGAGTAGGGCTGCAAACAAGTCGAGCGGGTCACGAGCCGCTCGCGAGCGCTCGAGTTTGACCGAACTCGAGCGGCTCGAGTATGTTATCGAGTTGATTTTCGGGCCCAAATTTTCAAAGGTCGAGCCGCTTGTCGAGCGGCTCGAAGTATGCGGTAAAATACTTAAATACCCTTTATATATATGTAATTCAAAAGATTGTCATAGGTGCATAATTTATAGTTGTTAAAATTCAAGCCGAACTCGAGTTGATCTCGAGCATCTCCATTTATTTCACGAGTCGAGCTCGAGCGTCATTTTCATGGCTCGTCTGGCTCGAGCAATGAAAAAAAAAA